TGGGAAAACCAGAAAAGAATTTAAAAAGTGTTCAGACACCAGTGGTTTTGAGAAGAGCCAAGCACTAAGGTTCTGTGTTAAGGGTGTTGCAAGTCAGCTATGTTTAGTACAGAGCTAAAGGGGAGGCATGAAGAAAATACCATTACTGTGATCTCATTTGGCAGGTTACTGAGTGGGGAGGGTCTTGTCAGCAAAAATAGCAATACATGCATTAATGCATGCGTCTCTCCTGACGTCTCGGGACAGGGCTATTTAAGAGGGCCTGTTATTATGTTGCTATAGTTGCATAGTATGTATTTAAATGTTAGAGTCACATCCAAGAAGTTCTAAAGATAGCAGGATGGGTTTAGACTTCTGTGATGAGGATGGAGCAAAGCATGCCCATGGGTAGATAATGTGGCCGTCCTAGAACAGTATTTAAGTCGCCAATCATCTAAACATTTGCTGTCAGAGGACCATAGCCCTGTGTACTGAAGCCATGCGCGTTGACAAAAGACTTGCTTTTGTAAGTTACCCTTAAGAGATCACTGTGGCCTGTGAACTAAAAGTAGTTCAAGACAGCTCTCCCCTTATTCATCCAGAATCAATGAACCATGAACCATTCATGGGAGTGCCTCTGTGAAAACAGAAACATGTAAATTAAAGATGTGTAATACAGCATGGTGCAGTACTGAATAGAAAAGGAGTGATTATAGTCACTTGTTTAGTGTCTGTGATAATCAGATGCGTGTTTCTTGTTCGGGCAGGAGCAAACTCCACTCACCTGCGTTTAATACTAACACAGTATTGCTGCAGCTCTTCTCACTTTTGTGCAGTCTGGAGGCCTGTAGCCACATTGGAAACCAGAAGCAGCAAACTCCCTCTGGAGTCTTGCAGCTTGCAAGCGGGAGTGAAAGAAGCTGGGGAGCTTTACAAGGAGGTGGAGGATTCCCAGCAGAGCTTTGGATTCCTCGCTAAGAGAATTGACTCTCTGCAGTTACCACTTTGTATTTCTTTTGTGGATCATCTGATCTGTAATCATCAGTTTGCCTAAATCCTCACCACCCTCCATGGGCCATAGCTTACTACTTACCTGTCTTCAATCTTTCCTTCTCCATCTTTTTGGAGCAGACAGAAAGATTCCCTGATTCAAATAAATACTAGATTGGAGGGCAAGGATTAAGTCTGCTGCAGTGCAACATCCTATAGCCATCAGTAGAACTTCAAAGTACCTTTTGGCAGGCTCAAGGGGATGTTTTTTATCCATTTGTCTAACACATTCTGGGTTGTAACCTGTCCTTGCCCATGCGTTATTGCAAGTTGACAGTAAATCTGTGGTATGAGAGAAAGGTGAGAAGGGTCAGAGGGGATTTGACCTCTGCAATCAGAGCGTCTCCGGTTTCCACAGTGCTCCCTGTTATAAAGGGACCTTCCCAATTGCTCCAAACAAGCCTTTTGCAGAAGACTGCCAAGTTACAAGCTTGCTGGACAGTCTGTATCCAGGTGTGTATTGATGTCTGTTCCCTATAAAAAAGTAATCTCTGGTAAAGTGTTTTCGGTTCTCTCTTCTGTTATGATCTCTCTCATCTCAGCCAGGCAACTGCTGACTTTGTTTCTTCCTTCACTGCTTGTGAACCTTCCTTGGCTGTTGTCCTGCTGGGTATGAGTACACTTGTCTTGAGTAGGAGAAAGAGACCACACACAGATGGGGCAGCACTGAAGTTTCCAGGCTGATCCAGCCAAGCCCTCTGCCATCTCTTCCTGTACTGCCTTAGGTGGCACTTTCTTTGCAGTTGACATCATCCTCGCTTCTCTGGCTCTCAGCAGCCACAACTGGGTCAGGGAGGCCAAAGCTGCTCCCAGGCCTAGGGCTTAAGTTTAAGCTCTGCTTTTCTAACGTAACGAGCTCTTTGGCGAAAGCTTAGTGCAATCAGTCACGGTTGGCCTAGGCTGCAGTGGCGTTGCAGCCCTTCCTCCCTGGGCCCTGTTACCAGTGCAGAGCCCTTGCAGCTCCCGCTGGCTGCACAAGGCAGAGCTCTGCCTCGTGTGCGAAGGGTGGGCCGGTGGCTGCTCGGCTCCCTCTGCACCAGCTGAACCAGGCCAGCTTTTGGCCATTTGATTCCAGAGCAATTTGCTGATGACAGAGGAGATTCAAGTTCAGCTCCAGACTCTAGAGAAGCTGCTCCTCCAGCACCACTTTCCTTGCAAGCCTCTCAACTCCTTTGCCATCTGCTCAGACTGCCATATCCTCCTCCTCCCCAGGGCACTGGCAGAAAGGTCACTGAGACCGTGGCAAAACCTCTGTGTTTTCATTTCAGCACCTAGTTTCCCTGGGCAAAAAGCCACTACAGAGTCCTGCTCAAGCCTTGCTAATGGATGGTGCAGATAAACTTTTGTTAGCTGAGTTATCTTCCTGCACTTTTGTAATCTGTGACCCGGAGTGTTTTTTAGGTCACAACTTGGCTAAACATGGATGAATTTTCATGGGGATTGAAAAAAAGTTTATTTCTAACTATGGCTCATCACCACATTTACACCTCAAATGAGGTGCTAGATCTGAGTAACAAAATGACTGCGGGGTATTTCAAATAGAAGGAAATGAGCGTATTTTTGATCACCAGGAAAGGGTCTTCAGACAGACAGCATGCATTTTTAAAAAGTTTATGTTTGTTTTTAAGATTTTTCTTGCTGCAGGCATTTTGCTTAAACCCAGAACATGCCTTTGTAAAGTAAAGATATATGACAGGGACCAGTATCTCCATCCTGATGTTTTGGCAAGAAGTTTATAAAGAAAAGATTGACTGTAGTACATCTAATCCGTACCATGTGAGGATGCATATCCTCTTTTCTTTTGATTTTGGTATGTTAGTTGGTGTGGACAAGCTTTTGAAACAGCTTTTGATGAATAAGATACCTTCTAAAGTGGAGTGTTCTCAGGGTGGTTAGACCTCTTTCCTGAGGCAGTGGCTTTTCTTTCTAATTTATCTGAAGTTTAGACCTTCTTTTTTCAAACCCTGACTTTTTCTTTCCCCAACTAGAAGATGCAAGAATTACAGTAAAGTTTTTGAAACAAAATGGGAAACAAAGTAATTATGAAGAACTGATCTTGTAGTCTCAAAAATAACATTTTGGAAGTAGACACATGAAAAATAAAGGGTTCTTTGTTTTATTTTTATTTTCCTACAAATATTAACATTTTCTCAATGAAAAACAGGCTGGGTTTGAGCAACAATAACAGGTATAAATCCAGATGCTGTGCTGGTGATGTTACAGCAGTTCAAGGTCCACAGTGCCGTGTAAGCTGGTTCCAGAAACCAATATCAAAATGAAGATCTCTGCATGGATACTTTGATGTGCAACCTCCAGACTTCTCAGTGAAAACCCTTAGCCTGTGATACAGAGATAACATTGGAAGGGTGATGTATGCTGAGAGCAGGACCATGGCACGTTGGAGTCTTGAAATCCAGGACCTGATGTGCTATTTTGGTTTTCCAAAGCTTATGGGCTGTTTTTCCTGTGATACTTCAGCTAGATGTGACAGTCTAACGACAGTCCTGCACTCTCCTGCCCTCCTGATTATCCTTCTCCTGCTTTGTCCCTGGGAAAGGAAGCCTTGGCTTGGAGCTAGATGCTTTCTGCACTTCTCTTGCCCTGTATTTCCTCTGAAGTCAAATGCACCTCATTCTTGCTGTACAATCTGCTTTTCAAAAAATTAGACACATGATAGTTGCAGGATATACAGATGTTGGCAGGTGTGACATGGTACTTGCCTTTACCCAGCAAGAGGAACTCAGTAGCCCTCCATAAGACAGGTGAGGCACACAGCTTGTTGATGTTGGTGAGACATTTGCCATGACTGAATTTTTTGAATTTTGGATTCAGTTAGGAAATCTAACTGATATGCACTTTTCTCCTCATTAGCTCATACAGCTCATGTGACTTGTTTCGTTCGTGTGACCTCTTATTACATATCCATCATTCCATTTTTCTTTCCTATTAGAGTGAAATTGGACACAGCCCTCTTCCTGCCTACACCCCTATGTCAGGAGTAAGTATTTCACATTCATCCTTCATCCTTTAGGTTTTCCTCCTTCCTTCACTACATATTTTCTGTTTCAAACCCCTTTTTCCTACATAAATGGCCCAAAAATCAACAGTGAACTGTGTATGTAAGCAATCAAATAGTCAGGATCTCTACTCTCAGCCTGGATTCGTGGGCAAGCTCTATGGACCTACACCCAAAATTCTACCAGCTGCCAACTTTTCTTGAAAAAGCATTTAGGTAACAGGCTTGGATGAATCTGTACATTTTTCCTTCCTATTTATAGGTCATGATGTCGAAATTTCCTTGCACGCCTTTGCTGACAAGCAAAATGGTAGGTTGAGTTGAACTATTGAGTTGAGGTACTAACATGAACACAGTTCACCAGCCTGAAATGCACTACCTGATGGAATTACATAGTGTTTGGGTTACCATGTGATTGTCACTGCAGGACATTCTAAAAGTCAGCCCCCCAGGAATAGAGTTCAGAGAAGATAATGACCTCTGTCCCCAGTCCACTTCGCAGAAGGAGATTTAAGGATTTTGTTCAGAAGTCAGGGGAGATTGCTAAAGTAATAGAACAGGAGATACTGTGTTTGCCTCTTGCAGCTGTGTATATCTGACCTCCACATGTCTAGGTAGGAGGCAAGGTTTGCTGCCCCGGTTCTAGCCCCATTTCCAGCCCTGAGCAGCCAGCTTGCTCCCCTGCTCCCCTCACTGATGGTGCCTCCCTGGGAGTGGAAGTGGGCTCAGCACCACTAGGCAGACGGATGCTTTGCCAGTCCACAACAGAGCCTGTGCTGCTGCCGATCCCACAGCACTGGAAACGCAGTAGTCTGCAGGATGGACAAGGCTTCTCCTGCCCGGTGAAATGCATCATTGAGCAAGTGTGGCAGGAAAGGCACAGGAGCCACAGTGCTGTTGAATCTTCTCTCCCTTCAGAGCCTCCTTTCTCATGCTGCCTTTTCTTTTTCAACAGAACCAGTTTCTGTATAGAGATGGTGGCTATGCTGCAGAAGTGCCGATGCCATACAGAGCTCCTGGCTGCAGAATACCAGAAGCCCCAGTTGCTCAAGGGGCCACAGGAGAGATCTTTGAAGATACTTGCTGTAATGGCACGCTACGAAAACAAGTGGCAACCCTGCCAAAAGAGGACAGCAGCACCCAGAGGTACAGCGCTGATCCCACAGTCTTCATACCTGAGCGGGTTGTCCGGGGAGAGCTGGATGAGGATGGGTACATGACGCCAATGCGAGACAAACCTAAAACAGGTAAAAAAATTTTCTTTGCGGAGAAGCTTCTGCTCTAGTCTGACTGCATTTGCTCTTTTTTTTTACATCAGCAACTTTTCACCAAAAATGGCTTCATTGAGTAAACCAACAAGGTTGAAGCATGGTTAATACTTGGTTGATACTTCTTTGCATGGGGATTCATTTTTCTTTGCTTAATTTGCTACTTGGAAAAGCTCAAATGTGCCAAAATGTCAAGTTTGGTAATTCCTCTTGAACTTTTCTTTGTGGGAAATGGCAAGAGAGAGGAATGAACAAAAGCCAAAATGCCTTCTTATCCAAACACAAATCTTCAGTTATTTCCAAGAAAAGGATCTATCTTTGGCCAGCCGTAGTCTCCGCTTTGTTTACTGATCTTTTTTATCTTCATGTCAATGTGCTTGGTAAATGTCATGCTGAACATATCACAGAACCAATACACATAGATGGCATTTTATACCCATGGGAAGTTTAGGATTGAAAGAACAAGATGTGCTTCAGGGAGACCATCACTGCAAGGTGAAGTTTGCCTCGATCTGTGCCAGCTCAGAGTACTGCACTTCCCAGTTTGCTATCATTCGTTTCTTCCTTTCTAAATAGTGACAGCAGTCATTTAGATGTAGGGGGATGTGTCATTAGTAATTTGCTTTCAAACCTTTGCAGTAGCTTTAAAGAAATTAATTAATGCAAATGTAAATGCCAAGTAATTACTGGGTTTGCTTCAGAATTTGGGAGCCACTTACCCTTTGTGTTACATGGTGGAAATGGAAGGGGGTCCTGGGGCCTGACCCATGGCAACAGCAATTGTGGGAGTGTGCTCACGGCCCTGCACTTCAGCAGCCACCCTTGCAATAAGAGATTTGATGTTGTGAGTTTGCTTCGGTGTGAGTCCCTGTGTATCTTCACATACAGGTTTGCCCTGGCAAGCCTGAGAGTTCTGCAGGAGCTTAATGCTTCGCAGGTGCTAGCTGAGCCCTCAGGGATGCTGTAGTAGCAGCTCAGGAGAAAGCACCTCCTTCCCGTCTCACTGGGCACAGACACAGGGATATCAGTGTTGCTGCGGTGCTGCGTACTCTCTGTCAGTTGGAGGGTTCAAATCAAAGCACTGCTTGGCTGTCATCGGTTAAAAAAATTATGTTCCCACTATGCTCTTGGTACAGGTGCACATGCCTGTTCACCTCAGATTCAGCGAAGTTTTAGCTGTGTGTTCAAAGGTACTCGCTAAGTCTTGAACTTTTGCATTTAATAGTTTTGGCCCTGTCCTGGATAAAAACAGAGCTGAAGTGAGGACCATAGCCACCCTCTTGTAACAGTCCTGATTCCCTGCAGGCAGGACTCTGTGTAGAGCTGTCTCCAGAGCCATGCCACTGGAAATGGAGGCCTTGTGTTGGCATCCCTGTGTGGCACAGGCAGGCTGAGACATCATCCCTCACTAATGACGGTGGCTTGGAGACCCTGTTTTCTAAGGGATCTCTAGGCTGTGAGATGAAAGGCAGAATTAATACTGCAAGTGGGTTTGATTTGATCATTTCCAGCCTTGAATGAACTGGATGCTTTTGACATATCTTGCTGCAATGGTCCCACCCCGTGAGACTCTTGTCCCTGGCTCACCTCCAAGCTGTTCCCTTTGCAGCCCACTTGCAGTGTCGGTGACCTCCCTCCTGCATAGGCTGATTTGCTTTATGTTTTGCAGCAAGACCTTGTTATACACAGAGCAAGGAAGGATATGACACTCACCAAATTCATTGCTGCGCGGCTCAGTTGTCTGTGTGTGACCATGGGAGACACCTTACTAAGCATGTGTTTTTAACCTAGGACAGCCAGCATCTTTATGTCTCTCTTCCCTCTCCACCACCTGTCTAGCTTTCCATGCAAGCTCCGTATGCCTTAAAACCTTTCTGCAATTCAGCTACAATTTTTTGTGGTGTTAATCCACAGAAAGTGATTTGAAGCAGCTGTGACCTGCTCCAAGTCCTGTTTTGGAGCTGATGGAGCATTCTCGTATCCTTTCCAGGGCTCATTTGAATCATTTTTTTCATAATGCTGTGAGACCCTTTGTCCTTCAGGGATGGAAGGTTTTTAGTCAGGCAAATTGTTCTGTTAGAAATGAAGCTGTCTTAGAAGTTAGTCCTTGGGGATGGGTTTTGTGCAGAGAGGCTTAACTAAGATTTCTGTAGAGCTTTCTGAATGGAAAGACTGCAGAGCAAAGGGTTTGACTGATATGTCCAAGGTTGCACAGAGAGTCAGCAGCAGAGGCCGAAGTCGCTTGGTGTGTTTGTCTCTGTAGATCATACACTGAGCGGAAGGCCAGGATAAAGCAAGGCACAGGCTACAGCTCAATGAGAGCTGTAGTTAGTGTGTTTGATGACTTCTTCTTCCAGAGTCTTCATTTTAGCCCATATTGTCTGTTTAGGTTGTAACTTCTTCACTTTTAGCAAGTGTGTGTTCAGCATAGTTGACACCTGATCTCATCTGGACTTCTAGGAATGGCTGGGGTGGAGGACACACAAGTTTAAACACTGCTTCTGGTGCAGCCTGGTACTACATGCCTGGGTTACTCCCTCTCTTTGCTAATTTGTTTTTTATCTTTCCTTAGATTACCTAAACCCGGTGGAAGAGAACCCATTTGTTTCCCGACGAAAGAATGGAGATGTCCAAGCTGTGGACAACCCAGAGTATCATAATGCTCCGAACGGGCAGCCCAAAGCAGAGGATGAGTATGTCAACAAGCCATTGTACCTCAACACTTTTGCAAACACCTTGGAAAATGCCGAGTACCTGAAGAGCAATTTGCCAGAGAAAGCCAAGAAGGCCTTTGACAACCCAGACTACTGGAATCACAGCCTGCCCCCACGAAGCACCCTCCAGCACCCGGACTATATGCAAGAGTACAGCACAAAATACTTTTACAAACAGAATGGACGGATCCGGCCCATTGTGGCAGAGAATCCTGAATACCTCTCCGAGTTCTCCCTGAAGCCCAGCACTGTGCTGCCCCCACCGCCCTACAGACACCGAAATACAGTGGTGTAGTGACCACCGTCTTCAGAAGTGGAAAGGCAACCCCTTCTAGCTGTCTCACTTCTCCTCTCTTGCTCTCCTTTTCTCTCTCTTCCCTCTCTCCCTTTCTTTCTCCCATGAGCTTCCTCTTCTTGCCAGTTCATTCATTTTTGATATATCCAAGTGAAAGAATGTCTTGCAGTTGTTTGCAGATTGGGTTGGGAACCAGGAAGGAAGGAAAGAGACTGAAAGAAGGTGTGTAGAACCTGGCGTTTCTCACTTTCCACAGATCTGGAGGGTCGGATTTTCGGAGAAGCCAGACAGTACCAGTAATGGCCAGTGGCAGTGTTGCCTGCTGTCGAGCTAGTTCTCAGTGATTCCACCCAGTTTCTTTCAGCAGTAACTGATGAGAGTCTGTACTGCATTCCTGGAAATCTCAATACTGTTTCCATTGGGGGAAAAAAAATGGACAATTTTTATATCATGTGTGATAGCATAGTAATTGAGATTGAGAATCCAATTTCTTTCTCTAACACTTTCTATCCCAGCAACTGAAAATGGCTAACCTGGCTTTTCATAATCGTTCAGATCTTCATCGTGGCTTTTCAAGAAATGATGATGTGACTCTAATATATGGCTAGACCCTTCTTCTGAGCCACACCATGATTTTGTGGCAATTCCTAACCACAGAGGCTCCAGCTCAGAACTGGTACATGACATTACCATTTTTGTACATGTGCCAACATAACAAACACTTCAAATACAAAAACCCTTTGAGAAGATAGCAACAAAACCACACCTCCAACATGTTCTTTTTGAAGCTAAAAACAGGCCAAGAAACCAAGATTTGTATGCAAAAAGCTTTGCTTTCCTGTTTTATACCTGCTGACTAAAGATACATAAAAAGACCCAAACAAATTCTTCCCTCTTTTTCTTCTTCGTGATCATGGAGGGAGTTGGGGATGCTGTCAGGCAACACTGAGGACAAGATGGACAGCTGGAGAGTTTGATATGGGTCATGAAGTCTGCTGATCTTCTGTGGGGTGGTGGAGGGAAGGATCCTTTAAACTGGATGACAGACACTGGACTGGAGAAAACGCACATAGCAGTTCACTGGAAGGTTAGTTTGCACTTAAGCTCTGATTTTATTTGAACTGTTTTCTGGATTTTGAATGAAGCAATATGGAAGTGACCAGCAAAATACAAAATAATAATTTTAAATTAAAAAAAATGAATTATATGTAAAGGATGACTGTGGAAATGCCAAAATGAAGCAAACCAAGTCTTTGGAACAATGTCTACCAGTTGTGAGAGGCCATTGCATTGACTGCTTCAGAGAATACGGTGACAGAGCAACCAGCTCTTACTGCTGCCATGTGAAGGACAGCAGAGCAAGCCATGAAAGGAATCGGAGGAGACAAATGTCTTGCTCTGGCTCGCAACACAGTACAGAATGCTTTTTTCTAAAAGGAGGATTACTCTGGCACAGAAGACAGTGCATATAAGGTTTGGGAAGTCAAAATGTACCTGACTCACAGAGCTTTCCATCAAAAATGTAAATGAGTCAGTCTCCTTGCACTTAGTTCTGCTTTCATCAACCTCAGTTTTTAGGCAGACACACCCACCTCACCCCCTGGCCTGATCCTCTTTGGAAATATCCTTCAGCCAGAGTTCTGGATGTTTTTAGAAGCCAGAGGCAGCTGGAGCTGGGAAGGGTGGCTTAAGGGCCAGAAACACTGATGGCTTGCTCCTGACATGCCAAGATCCATGTGTGTAAAAGCATTTGCATACCTAGTTCCCACCAAAAATCTTAAGCAACTGTTTAGCACCTTTGAAGATCTGCCTATGTCTCTGACCATCAAGGCTTTTGAAGGGGAAGAAACAACACCAGATGGATGGTAATTCTAGGTGATACAACAGTATTTCAGTTTATGCACTTCAGTACTGTTAGATCTTTGGGGTGACCTAACCTAGCAAAGAAACCAGCAACAAGCAGTGATCTGGAAATGGCATCAAGCTACTCCAGATTCCTGCCATCTCAACAGCTTGCCATCATTAGTTATAGGGAAGCAGAGGAAGGAGTAAGAAAAGAGCAATGGTTACCCAAATTATGGTGGCTGAGGTTTGGCTTGACAAAGGTTTCAAACCTGGGTTGAAATTTGCTTCTAGGTGGGAAGCAAATTGTGTATAGTCACTGGGTCAAGGTTGGTTCAGCCAACAGCCTGTTTCTGTGTCAGGTATGTACCAGCTGTGGCGCAGATACTAAGCCTGTAGCCTGAGTACATAGCTGAAGAGTCTGATAACAGCAAGAACAAGTACAGATCTTTGAAGCTATTAAAAGGAGAGGCTGGGTCAAGTGGTACCAAGGTGGTTTGTGGTGGCAGAATGAAATGACCAGCAGACCATTAAAGTGGGAGAGATGGTTACAAGAAAGTCACGCATCTGAGAGGCATTGCCTCTTCCTGGTGCCCTCCTGTAACTCCTCATGGTCTTGGCAGGAGACAGAGGCAGGCATTGGGCAAGGTCTGGGGGTGTGGAGGGACCCCACTCCAGTGAAGGTTTGCCAGCAGCAGCACTCACAGGGTGTCATCTGAAGCATGGGCAAAGGTCTGCCAGGTTGGGACACGATTGCCAAGCTGCCTGGGGACAAAGACAGGGTTGTGGATGTCCCGTTCCAGCACAGAACCAGCTTGGGTTATGCAGGTAGGTGGAGAGAGGGGTTGCTTTGTCCCTGAACAAGTCTTTTAACAGAGTAACTCCTAATAGAGAAAAAATAAAATCCCTGTACAGCTTACATGTTTGAATTCCAAGAGGTGCACTCAAAGGCTGCTGAGGCAGAGGCATACACACCTCCAAACCCGGGTGGGGTGGTGCTGGGATATAGCTGCTAACAGAAGGTGAGGCCTGTTTGTTTCTCTGGTAGTACAGCAGTAATGGTGTTGGAAAAAAACCTGTCAAATAATCAAAATGTAAATAATTGTGGGTTTTAACAATTTAACATTTTATTTCTTACAAAGCTTGAATTATTTATTCATTTTAATTGTTGAATGTGGGTGTGGTATATTAAGTAGCATGGAAATGCAGAGGTTACTTGAAGTGAGGCAGCATGAAGGCCAGGACGGAAGCTGCCTTATGCTGGGGCTGTGGCACACAGCCAGGCTGGGCTGAGCTTAGCCCTGCTAGCTGTGTCTTGAGTAGCAAATGGCAAACAAAGGGTTAATGAACACAGTAATTTGCGATGATGGAAAACTCAACAGACTGCAGCTTCATAAATGGGCATTTTTTCTTCTGAGCTGCTGGTTTGAGTTGCAGTTGCCAAAAACAGTCCTTACCTTTCCTGCTGTCCCAGTAGCTGACCTTGGTTGCAGTGTGTGGGCCTGCCTGGTGCTGAGCATCTGGTTAATCTGTTCCCTTTCCCCAGTAAGAATAGCAGTCTTGTGAACACAGCCCATAAATGTGCACATTTCCTCTGCAAGAGTAGAGCCTCTGAGCTACATTGGCAGATTTTTGTCTCTTTGCCAAAGAAAGTTTAACCATGGTTAAAAAAAACAAAACTGAGTGCAGAACTGTTTGGCTGCTTTAATCTCATCAGTAGAAATACCTGGCCGGCCCTAACTCGCCTGTTTGTCTTAGTGGTTATAGCTGCTGTTTTGGTGAAAGAAGTAGAGCAAATGTACATGGCAAAATCATGGCAAATATTCAACTGATTGTGTTTTGAAAGATGAGGGTCAGGGGTTTTAATGCATAGTTACAGGTTGGGGACAAAGCAGATACTTCCACACATGAACTGCATTTTGTTAGCACAAAGCAGTAGGAGAGATCATCCACACAAGTATTTTGTCTGGCCGTAATTAATTCTCCGGTTCTACAGTGGTATCTGTACACAGGACTGTCAGGTTCTTTTGATTTTATAATGCAGTCTCCTATTTGTGGATGTTTTTCTTTCCGTTACCATAGCCTGTGCAATGGAAGGGCAGTGACTAACTGTTCAGGAGTGTGTATACACACCCGAGTGTGTATCGGCTGTTGTCCAAGGCACAAAGCAATGCGCTGAATGAACAACAGCTGCTTTTTCCCTACTCTCTTTCTGTGATACTTGTCTTAGATGTTATTATCTACCTGAGGGTAATTTCAAACCGATGTGGGTGCTGGATCTGATTGACTCGCTGTAACGTAATTGACTGAAACCAACTGCTTTTAACTTTCCTTCTTCAGCTCTTTTCAAATTTTTCTTTTTCTACAAAATAGCCAGGAGGGATTCTTACGTGGCCGTTTGCTCAGATATAGGAGAGTATTTACAGCTCACTTTCAGACAGGTCATCTCTCACAGGTAGCAAGCAATGGAAATAAATCCGAGTGAGTATCAGCAGTGGGAGCCACTGTGTGGGTCTGGTTCAGGTACCTTAAGCTCAGCTGAGCAATCCTTTCCTTTGTGCAAAGAAAGGTTGCATTAACCTTTAGGTTGTACCACTTGGTAGAAAATGCATTTCTTGACTGGAGGAACTGTATGCAGTGATCTCATTCCATTTATTTTCTGGATTAATAGGGAAATCCCTTTCCCTTCCTGCCCCACAGCTGGTAAGCCCAGGGGCTGCGTGCGAAGGGCACGTGTGTAGAGGTGCTGCTGGGGCAGCTTGCACACACGTCATCGATCCGATGCCTGTTCGCACTAAAGATCTGAGAGGGACTTACAGGGGAGCGTTTCCACCCACCCTCAGCCACCACTAGTCCCAGCCTAGAAGCACAGAAAATGACAACTCTGAAAGACCAGCTTGGTCCTGACTCTCTGCGGATCTCTTCTTTCCTTAGCGATAGATACAGCTGAGCAGTACGGGTGAAAAGTACTAGCTGTGGTAAGTCAGCCTAGAAATATAGCTTGGGATTGGGGGTTTTGTTGAGGATGGATCTGTATGGGAAACTCAGATATTAAAGAAAACGATCCTTTTTTTTTCCTGATGGCATGTCTGTGTAGGTGTCCTGCATCCTGGTGGCAGCTAAAGGAATGAAGGGATTATTGGAGCTCCTTTGTAGTGCCTGGGAGATGAGGAGGCTTTGGCACAAGTCGGAATTAAGCTGTTGGTGATGAAATTGGCCAGGATAATGGAAGGCATCCCGGTCAGGTGTGCCTCCCGCCACGAACCCTGTGCACCCTGAGGAGGCATCCCTGTATGGAAATGGTAGCATCCATGGCAGCACCCACTCTCGTGCACACACACGCACTCGCACCCTCTGTCTGCCAGCCCTACTGGGGGAGGGAATGGGAGAAACAGAAATGCCCCAGAGACTGGCAGCCAGGGCATTGCTCACTTGCTGAGGTGGATTGTTCCCTCACTTTGCACCAGTGGTGTATCGGGGCTTCCACCCTGATTTCCCAATCA